AGCAGCAAACCAATTTAAACTTGTCCGTATTTCTCGTCGTATTCCATTCATGTTTATTAAACATGGAAATGCTATACCATTATTCCTTGTTCTTTTTTCGCTAGAAGGTCATTTTCCGACCATGAATATGTATGTGCAATCCTAGCAACCGATAATCTTATCATTTTTTTTTGTGAGGGGTAAATCTTCAAATGACTTCTCCCACCCAGGGAGAAGAGGGAGTGTCAGACTCTTACTAACTAAAAACCCCCCTGTTTCTTATTCTGCTTTGGGCCGAGGTCGCGGTGCCTCATTGCAGTTACCCCGCAACCCCGGCTGAACATCAGCCCTATAGGGCCCAGTCTGTGGTGGTCTATTGGTTCTTTGAGGCGCGCGGAACGCTACGCGCCGTAGGTACGCTCGGGCGATAATCTTATCATTTAGGATTCAATTTAGACTATGGGGCATCGATATCTAATAAAGGCAGACCAACTGAAAACGATATGGGGTCGTTAGATAAGAAGATACGGTGAATTGAAAGATGACCCAGTTTGGAGTTTCGAAAACTGTTTTGATTACAATTTCCCAAATGCTTCCGCTCAGAAAATAATGCACATTAATAATCGCTTGCGCAGTATTCTCTTTATCGACAATCGTGTATTGATTAGGTCAGGATGATCAATTATTACGATTAATGTCATGTATGCACGTGGACAGACAATCGGTCAGCCTTGTACTAGTTTATCGATATGAAATCTAGTAAAAGATAAATCGATTACAAAAGAAATGAGCCAAGACAATCCCAAAAATCTTTCACCGGATCATATTGCCAATATTTCAATTATAAAATATCTGTAAGAACTTAACGAGAAATTTATTAATCACTGTAGGTATTGGAAATAGATGTATATGGTTTTATATGTATACATATTTCTATTACATAACCCACCGATAGCTTTAATGATAAAACTGATAAACATTGCTATAAGTAATAGTATTGATAAGTCAAAACAATATCCATAGAGTGAGTGGTTATTGAAATCATAAAATGCGCGTGTGTGATGACTGTGAGCTTAGTAAAAGTTCGGCTGATTCTTTAAGACGTTGATGTGCTTTTCGCGGTTTAAAATTAAAATCAGTATGACTACGTAGTTACCACTACATATTAAGAGCAGGCAGCACCTAATCCTTTAGATCCCGCCTTTTAATTTAGCACTCAGTACAATCTTATCAATTTGGAATCCTGCGTACATAAGTGGATGGAACATTAATGCATTGAGAACTTTGCATAGTAACAAGTTATATGAACCAATAATGATAGGCTTATCTTGTTTATACATTTTCAAACAATGTTTTGGTAGACAACAAAAGAAATTGTCCGATATAATTTTGGCAGTAGGTGGGCATATTATGATTAATGATGATATAGTAAGGCAATGTTACCAAGTGCCCAATTCAATCATTAAAAATGGCATATGCATTGTAGTCGCCTATAAAACGATGACCGCGCCCTCTATGACAAGCAGGTACGGAAATATAATCTTTTCAAAGCATTTCTTTGCAAATTTCCTTAACGGAAACTTTGAAAACAAATGAACAATTGAACATAACAATTGCTTTAACATTGGTGGGAAATATTGTTGGAGAACTCTTAGCAATGACAATAATTATGTAGTTACCAACATTATTTTACGAGTTTAAGCCGGTTTTAGCCCAATTGGCAACAATTAAAATTTTAACCAAAATGATATCTTACTTATTAGATACCCCATTAACGTTCCCCATTTTACTTGGAAGTTTACTTATTAAACAACTCGTTTCATCATCTCTGGAAAAGTTTATGTTAGTTTGTCTGGCGAAGGCGAATGTAAATCGTGGTGTAATATTTATTATTTGAAGGAGTCTTTAATCGAAAAATTTCCTAAAACGAATATACTAGCAATGTGGAAGGAATTATTTTATCTCCATCGTAATGTAAACAAGGAAAAATCTTACGTACACGAGGAAAACTAGCGTGAGCTAACACCAATTAGCATATAAAAATAAATTGATATTATGGTGTTCATGTAAACTTTGTGAAATGAGGCTAGGTTTTTGCTTTACGCCATAGTTTCTAAAATTTTCCAAACAGTAATAAAAATAATAAATCGATGTTGGAGTCTTTACAGTAGTTGCTAAGGTCGTGCGGGTAGCTGTCCTGCCTTGCACGAAAGGCATAATTTATAAGTAAGAAACAAACAGTCTATCTTTTATCGATTTAACAGAGGTTGGTATAAGTAAACAAGAGTGATGCATCGAAGCAATCAGCATTACTTGTCTTATTGTTACTGAAATTCTATTCTTACGAACGTCGGATAACTGAAATCAGCTTTATCAATGGATGCATCGCAACACGCTGTATATCATTTTGACGGCTAAGCAAGTTTATTTTTTGCTGAAAGTTATTAGGAAATAAAAGGTTTGAGTGTGAATATAATTTGTAATCTGGCAACATGAATCTGTTATTTTTTGTACATTAACATTAACAGTACATTAATTTTATCGTGAAGAAATTCAATAAATTATTGAAGCACATATTAAGATAAGAAAGGGCTACTTTTCTGTGTTAACCAAAATAAAAATTGAGTGATAGCATTTTTCTTCAGTCATTCATCTCTCTTTATCATTCAATCTAAGAAATAAAATCTTGCAACCATAATAACACAAAATAACTTATACATATTAATCTTACATTATTTTTATACTGTTTTAATAAAACATTCATAATTTAGCATGTGTCCAATAGCAAAAAAATTAAAAATAAGCTGTAAAAATATTATAGGTATATTTTATTATCTGGCAATAAAATTGCACATACCTGGTGTTTAGGTATTTTGGAACAGATCTTCCTGGCATTGTTTGTGCTGTCAGATGGAGGAGGTGAAGGTGGTGTTAATCCAACTCCCTTTGAAGACTGGAGACGGGTTTTAACTACTTCTAACGGACATGTCACCACAGCTCCAGCTGTGCCTGCGACTCTGTGAAAGATAAAAATGATTTTAATAACTTGATTTGTTACAAATATTGAAGGTTTATAAAACTGAATTACCAAAGATAAAAAATATTAATATAGTGAGCAAAGCAATATTTTATGTAACTAATTACAACTAAAATGTAGGTATTCTAAAAGAGTAAAAAATTTAAACTTCAATTTGCACAGATAATTAAATTCAAGCACCATGTTATAAATCTTATTGGAAGAAAAGACCCTTTATTTTAAAATTCAAATAAGAAAAGGAAAGCTAACATAAATTAGAATTGGAAAATGGCAGCACATTCTTTTTTTTGAATAAATCATAACAATAATAATTTGATATTAGCTTTTACAATAGTTTTATTAATAAGTGTTAAGATAAAACAAGTTACTAGGTTTTGTTATCATAAATGAGATTTTGGTTAAGGTATTTATTGAATGGATGTAGATTGTAGCTACTGAGAATTTCAATTTGATAACAACATAATAATTTTGTAGTGCTTAGCATTTTTTATCTCAATGGTCCCATTAAGAATACAATGTATGTTCACCACATGCATAAGTGTTAATCAACACATTTTTTTGAGAAATTGAATATAAGATTAAATAGAATCCAAAATATAATTAGATTTAGGAAGAATTTTGTAATTTCTTAATAATCTATTGGTTAAGGGAAAGCAATCTTATAAGAGTAAACTGAATGCCTGATAAAAGATTATGCAAAAGTTATACTGATGTAAGTAATGTAACTTACACTTAATATTATGAAATAATTATTTTCAAAGTACCCAATTAAATTTATTTTTAGTTTATTTCTCTCGAATGCCAGTATTTACATACTTATACAGTATTAGTCTATTCTATTTGGAATTTTTTAATTTTCCACATTTAGAACTTTTTAAATGCTTAACTGTATATTGTTATGCCAATCACAACAATGTATGTATTTACTATGTTATCTACATTTTCAAGGTGTTTTCTAATTTGCATTTATGTAACAAACAGAAACTGAATAACTGAAACTAATCATGCTTCTAGTCAATCTGAAACTGGGCCTGCATGATCAAAGTTCATGTGTAGTTTGATTAAAAAAAATTAAGATGTTTGTGTAGATGTGTGCCACGCGTAGGCACAGTGAAAACGCTGGCGTAAACAACCGAACAACGTCTCGCCACATGTGCCAATACTAAAATTCTGTAGCCATCGAGACTATGATAAAAAGATTTATGGAATGATAACGCAATTCAATAATACTACTTATCGTAGGACAGACCTCCCACGGTCTTATACTCACCCTCCGGCTAACAAATGTATCGCAGTATCCTTCTGAGACATTTTAGCGCCACAAGAATAATTACATGACTGCAAATTGCGACTGTCTATAAATAAACAAATGCACCGCTTATTATAACAATGTCCACACTATACCGAAAACACTTTGATTACGTCAAATTAGATAATGTTATATCTAATTAACTAGAAAAAGTTATATTTTCATGAAAAATGTAGTAGCAATTCATGTGATCACAATAAAAATATCGGCGAAAACTTCACAGCACAGCACACAGCACTGTCGTACGTTCGTCGTCTCGTAACAATATGCACACAAACACATTAGCACAACTACCTCACGTGCACATAGCTCTACTGCGCACACTAGTGAAAAATAACGATGACTACGTGACGTCTCGACAGTCGACACCGGCAACGACAACTTCTGGGCAATCAGTGAATCCGGTATTTCAATTTTGTTTTGATGATTGTTCATAAAGTAGTGACAGCTTATCAGTAGGAGTCGTTACTCCTGGTCTAAGGAGAAGTTAACAATAATAAATACTACATGTAAGACATATGCCTGCAAATTAAATAGAAAATCAAAGACTCCAAGTTAAACTTTATTATTATGTACAGTTTTAATATTTCTAACGATAAAAGAGATCAACGAGAATATCAGAAAGTAAAATGGCACTGCTGTCACGTTTGACGTTTAAAAACAGCTGTCAGTGATTTCGTTATGACAGTAAAAGTTTTAATTCTTTTCGTTGCATAATTCTTACTTGTGATTATTTCGTATCAATACAGCCGGTAATCGTTTACCGGTGTACCTATTTAATATACCCCTCATAAAGTAACTTTGCATTTCTTTTAATACTTTTTTAAAAATGTTCTCACGACGTTTTGTGAAGTAAGTAACATTCATAGCTTAATATTATGCACACCCTCAATGAAGTCAATATTCACGTGATAGTCAACGAGTATGATAACTGATTTTTTAGTTGTTATTTATTTCAAGCGTTTCTTGGCTATAAACTTATAATGTATAGTTGTATTAAAACATCAGACGTCGTAATTATGTAAAGCGGACATTGCCCCGGGTCAAAACCGCAAGATGTCGTTGCGTTTTATTGATTTGTCCAATTTATGCAATTTACAGGGCGTCGGTAGGCGCTGCTCGGCAGAAGCACACTCTGCCAGAACTGCCTTATGAATACAGTGCTCTGGAGCCTGTGATCAGCCGGGAAATCATGAGCCTGCACCACAGCAAGCATCATGCCACATACATTAATAATCTCAATGCTGCTGAAGAGAAACTCGCTCAAGCACAGGCTAAAGGTAGAATTGTCTTGAACTTAAGTATTTTAATGCAACCTTAACTTAAAATAAACTTTATATAAACAAAAAACTTTTTATAATCAAACTGATCATAAAAATTACTTTGACTTTGACTTTGATGTGAGTATAAAATAGCAACCCAATTAGTTGAAGATATCTGCTTCAAAATAATTCTGTTGCAAGATTCCGTTTCACAAACTTTGTAAATAGATACATACATACACTTAGTGAAAGTAAAATGAAAGCTTGCAGAGAGCTTTTGCTATTAAGAGTTATTATGAAATAAAGATGTGACATTTCCATTTGATTATGGTAAAGCATCTTCAGTGAATGAATTTTATTAATTTACCAAACCCCAAGCAAACACCTGCCTTTGCGCATGTTTTGTTCTTCTATTGTCTTGAATTACCACAACTGAAGGCTAGGGAACATAATTATGATTGAAATTAAATTCAAATTCCATTTGGCAGCAGCAGATACGAACACCATAATACGTCTTCTCAATGAGATCAAGTTCAATGGTGGTGGTCATGTGAACCATTCTATCTTATGGCCAAACCTATCCCCAACTCCAACACAACCCAGTTGCGACTTAAAAGAAGCTGTGGAAAAGTAAACACTATGAATGTTTTGTAAAGAAGTTCTAGTAGATGTTCTTTTAACATATTATTATTTGTGTAAATTTTTTGATTTTAGTATTTCTATGTGTAGTTTGTTTTGAGTACAAATAAGAGTAATTACCCGTATATATAGAATCTGGTGATGCCTCTTATGTAAATCACAATACAATGCATTACTTTCTATCAGTTACACCATCAAAAGTCAAAAATAATTTATTCCAATTAGACCCTTACAGACACTATTGAACATCAAACAAAATTTTGAAGATATAGTGTCAGTCTGTCGGTCAGTCCTCTTAGTGAAGCTATTTGCTCGTTCCAAAGTGTAGATTCCGATGGAGAAGTATGAGCAAGAAACACTATGATTACTCTTGTTAAAGCCCCTACATTTAAAATGGCAAAACAATTAAGTAAATTTTTATTTCAGACATATAACATTCTAAATTAATATGACTGTGTTCTTCAGGTGACATCAACACAATCATCAGCCTCGCTCCCGGGCTTAGGTTCAATGGTGGTGGACACATCAACCACACCATTTTCTGGCAGAACCTCTCCCCCAATGGTGGAAAACCATCTTCTGCACTCACTCAGGCTATTGAGAAGTACTGAATTCAAATTACTTTAATGCATGTTATGGACATTTGGCTTGTTTTGGCTTTGCTAAGTTATTTTTCCATATTTTATAATCTGCCTTATATTTGATATGATTAATACAGTGACATAATTATTACAATTTGCAAGGATGTGCATTTAGCACACTTATTTTAAGTTGCTTATTCTTGTATTTTCCTTACAATGTATCCAAATCCAAATGTATGATGAAAGTAAGAAGAACTGTATTCTATATTTTAATACTCTTGCAAACTGATAAACCTACAAACAATTGCAATATTTGCAATGGTTTTTTTTTAACAATAACTAATATTGGTATATTTGGACACCAATACTATTATTCCTAGGTCTGGTAAAATTGCTGTAGAATTAATATTTAGCCACTGTATTCACTATCAGAATTGTAGTTATTTTTATAACAACAGTGTAGTATTTATTAAAAAAAACTGTAACAGTAATTACTTACTTACTTTTAGCTTATCAGTCACACTTGACTTTGTTTACAATATTTTCGCATTGTTATGGCATTTTTTTGTTTGTGGAAATAACCGCTTTACGTCAATCGCAGAGATAACCTGAGTCAGTGTGCAAAGTTTAATGTTTGAGATAATTTGGGTCATGATAATGGATACCTGATATAATTAAGTTAATTGGTTAAAAATGATTTTTCTTTATGTTATTAAAACAATAGTATAAACTAGATTCAAAAGAGGACTTATTGTATCTAAAATATCTACCTCTTTTAAAATGTTGGCAACTTTTTGTACTTTTGTAATTCTGCATAATGCTTGTAACCATTTTATTTAAGGTTAAGCACTTCAAGTACAGTATGTGCAAATCATCTTAGTCAATATAAATTGTTATACAAATAATTTTATCTACTTCTAGGGACTTTGGCTCCTGGGATAACATGAAGAACCAGCTGGCTGCTGCGTCTGTCGGTGTCCAGGGGTCTGGCTGGGGCTGGCTTGGTTACAACCAGCAAATGAAAAAGCTGCAGATTGCTACTTGTCAAAATCAAGATCCTTTGCAGGCAACCACAGGTGATTTTTATAGATCTAGCTTGAAGTGTAATTTAATAAAAAAGATTATTCATAACAGAATTTAAGTAATTAATAATAAAATCATCATCAACCTAATAGGTGTTAAGTTTATTCCTAAGCTCGATTAGCAACATTATCATAAAAATGGTGAGGTGTTCCTTGACTTCGAAATTGAGAGCAATAAAATGATAAAAATAAAAAGAATCATTGGAACAGCCTAGTTTATAATAAATCTGATACAAAAAAAGGTTGGAGCTCATTAACGCAACGCAGCCGTGGCCTTTAAAAAAATAACAGTGTTTAACATCGTTAAATTATCTTTGCAGGTCTCGTGCCCCTGTTCGGTATCGACGTATGGGAACACGCCTACTACTTGCAGTACAAAAACGTGAGGGCTGACTACGTAAAGGCAATATTCGATGTTGCCAACTGGGGAGATGTCTCGAAGAGATACGAAAATGCTTTGAAGTGAAAATGTGAAATCAAATAGCAGGCCAACATCTCAATTTTATTTGGTTCCGGCTATACCCATCTGTCTAGATGTAAAGCTTTAAATTATGTTATTCACATGGTGAACACCCGCAATAGATTCTTGTGATAAGTTTTAGCCTTTTTTTTCCAAAAAACATTGTGTTTTATTTCACATCTTTTACCCTGTCCTCCTTTGTTAGATGACATACAGGGCATACAGATTAGGTAGGTACAGCAATCTCGATGTTTGCGATCAAAAACGAGCACTGTTACTCAAAGGGTGAGAACCAAAGGGTTCGATGAATATCAACGAAGGATTTTAACATTGTTACTCGCGTAGATCTGGCTAATGTGTTTGTGAGGGAGTGTCACCTCACAAGATTAATTAAATATCCAGGAAAATGATGAAATTATCCCATTGAATATGATCAAATTTAAACATTGTCGGTATAGGTTTGACCTAAAACTACTAATGTGCGTGATACTTGTGTGTTATGTGCACGAATTGGCTCAAGTAAAGATTCAAATAAGTCTATAAATTCTGACGTGAATTTAAAAATTAAGTTCTTGTTTTAATAAGTCTATGAGCTAGTTTTTGCCAAGTTCATATTATAATTATATCGATTAAAAATAACCTTTTTCATCGAACTTTATGATTACAAAAGAGGTCACTATGAAGTAAGAAAATGATCTGAAAAATCAGAACGTTAGTAATGCTGTTCCTTGCGTTGTTCTTGTGCGTCGTGTAACGGATCGCAAGTGTCAGACATCTGTCATATCAGATGATTGTCATTTGGCTTTGTTGTAACTTGTGGTGTAAAATAAATAAATAAAAATTGTATTCTGAATCATTAGCAGCAAATATCTACTGTACTGGGTCCTGGAGGATCTTAACTTCATATCTGTCGAGAGGTAAGTTACTTTAACGCTTTTATTTGCTGTAAGTTTGCTGGAGAAAAAGGGACAAGTAAGCTCGGGGGAGTATTATTGATTTTTCAGGCTGTAGACGTTACCTACTTCGTACATGTCTTGAAGTTCGAGAAAGCTATTTCGTATACAGTTTATCATTTCGTTCATTCCACAATATCAAGAAAGGTACGTGTTTTGTCACTTTTTAGTTATTGTTGCGAAAATCATCTCGAAGGTCGACATTTCAGTGTTTTGAAATCAGCTAGCAGTTATGCTCGATGCATATCTAGGTTTTCAGTTTAATTATATTGCTCTCATGTTTACAATATTTTTTATGATTGCTTTAATTTTTTTTGGTAAAAATTTTGTTTTATCAATAATACTATGGACTCAAGAATATTTTTCATAATTTTTATAAATACCCTCCTATTTAAACTTTATAACGAGCTCATTTTTGTTACCTACAATTTGACCCTAAAATAGATTTAAATGAAAAATACTTAAAATTCAATAAAAAATTAAATTACTTAAAAAACTACTTTGTACCTATCATACCTCTTATGTAGGTAAGAAACGCTAATTGGATCATAGAATGGTACTTTACCTAATAAAAGCTAATTAATAGGTATCAACAACAAATCAATGATTAATGCACTTTATAAATCACAATACATTAATAGCATTAACACATTACAATGAATGAATGAACATATTTAGAATATTTTCCTACAATTGCATACTTTTATGAATGATTATTAAATTATCCTATTCCTGTTTTGTAGTAGTGTGAGTGACTCATATTGGTCAACATGTGCTTTGAATGAGTCACTTAGTAGTATTGGCTATTATCATAACATCTCAACCTAAGAAGTCGAGAATTAAACATGTTGATTTTCATTTAGGTTTAACAGAGACAAATTTATTTTAAAATTCTGTATTTGATCAAAATTCATTATTTTGACTTTCCATTGTAACAAAATCTTATAAAAAATAATAACACTTTCCTTTAATTATTTTCTGTAGTCATAAAATTAATTATTTGATTATTTGATTACCCTTTAAAAATAAGAATACTGTACTATAAACTACTATGAACCAGAAAACATGGGACATCACAATGCACAGTCACATACAACTTTTGTAGAAACCTATCTATTTATACAATTTGAAAAAAGGATTGGATTTCAGTAGTTGTGAGTACCAGATTTAATATTGAATTTAATTATTTAAGTAAACTGAATGTAATCAGAATATTGTTTTAAAGATAAATATTAGAACCACCTTTGTGCATGTCACCTATTTTATATCTGAATATGGATTAGTTTGAAATATTTTTTCTTCACTTTTTACCTTTTTTGGTCATGAATATGGTTCTATTTTGTTTATAATGGTCTGACTGATCTTAATATACTAAGTTATTAAGTTTTCGTGATTCATTTGATGCATATTTTGAACAAGCAAACAAGAACAGCTTAACAGCCAAACTCCGTACAATCCCCAAAAGGGTTAGATTTAAATGTCAGCTTTATTCTTTGTTTAAAATATCATTTAACAGGTCTGACGGAACACAGATAAGCAAGACAATGTATTTATGCAATAGTGAAAAACAGGCAAACATAAAATTAACCATTTATTACACACCAAAAGTTATGTGTATTATCATGTTATAACTAGAAATTGTGTGTTTGTACCTTAATATCAACCCCGGACCTGCCTCAATATGGAAATTACAAAATACATGAATTTAATTATGGAGTAGTAAGGGTGAGGGTTATTGAAGAAATGTGCTGTACATGTATATTATACTGATAGTTCATACATTTAGTATGTATATGTATGTATCGCGGGCATAGGGTGACCATAGTTTGTAAGTCTTTTGTTTTTCTGATTAGTTTATAGTAATCTGTGGTCTATAATGTGGACTGAAGTTTGTGACCTTTTCAAACTGACTTTAAAAATGACTTAGTTTTTTTTATTTCCTTTTTTAAAATAATTTCTTTGTTTGCTTTTGCACTAAAATTTTTATGTGTTATTTTTTTTTTTTGATAAGATGTTGCCCCACACTAGGATTTTCTCCTGTGTCGTGGGTGCGGTTTCAAACATACAATTTCACATACACATGACACCCAGACCCGGAACAACAATTTTGTGGATCACACAAAGAGTTGTTCCGTGCGGGAATCGAACCCGCGACACGTTGCACGGCAGCCGGTTGCTCAGCCACCGCACCAACCGTGCAGTCATGCATTTGTTTTATAGTTTTGTGGAGCCCTGTAGGACTGTTCAATGCAACCTTCAGTCTGTTTTCACTAAGCTGATTAACCCGTGATATGCCGGCGCCCAGATCTATGCGAGACACAATGTATGCGTCTCACATATACCGGCAGACAAGAGGTTAATTGATCTATATATATTAATATTATGAACCTGAAGAGCTTTAAATTGAATAATCTCCGTATAGCTGGTTTGATATAATTTTTTTTCTGTTGCATCGGTCTATTATCCAGGTAGGCTATAGGCTATTCTAAAACATGACGTTATGACCTATAGGAGCAGCGCAGCAGGTGAAACTGCGCGAGAGTATCTAGTCAAAACGGAAATGGCCAGGATCCTATATTATATAATAGCTTTTTCTTTTACTTTACGTGTTCTTGAAAAATTCTATTATATTTGCTGTGATCAATTAAATACTAAGTGTACTTATAAGTTCCATGTTCGTTTCGTGCGTTGTTATGTGTATTCATATTGTTAATCCCATCGTTATACAACAATGATTATTTTGTAATAAAATTATAATATTTTCCGCATAATGCAATGCACTGTCTTTAAAACTAGCGGAAGGTTTATGGGGCGCCTACCGCCGCGATGGTTTATCGGGATCGGCGCCGCACGCGATCCCGTTGCCGGTGAATGCACTCGAAACTGGCGTACAGGGGTATTTGTAATTGAGCTACAAGGCTTTTTGTCTAGGATCATTTGCAAAGGAACATTGCTAGGAAACTAGCCTATTATTCAGCGTAGAAGCAGTGAAATAATAGGCTAGTTTCCTAGGTCAAAAATAAATTAATTCGAAAAATTACTATACTTTCATTAATCGATTGATCGATACACTAAATTTTAGATATTTTTTAGCTAATTTAAAGAAATAAGTAAGCTATTTGACGTACAAATCCTATGACGTCATAACTCAGTATTTCATACAAATTTCATAGAAAAGTGTCGTTTTTGACATTTGGATAAAAGTATTGAATTCGACTAGTTGGAAACTACCGTATTCTAAGCTGATTGATTGTAACAGAAACATGATCTCATTTGTTTTTTAATTGCTATTATTTGTTTTTTATTGGTAGCAATAAAGTTTTGGTTTTGATTACGGGTCGGACGAACTATTACTGAAAATTGTGTTCCTTGCCACGATATTTGTAGTTCCTTGTTAATTTTTTAGTAGGTACTCGTAATAGGTCGGAGTTTGGGGTGCTGTGTCCTAGTGTATGGCTGTAGGCTGGTCAGTGTTGCGGGTGGAGGCGCATTAAAAAGTACCGCGGCCTCTGCATGGAGTTGGAGAGAGAACAGGATGCTTTTTAAGCCAGTTAGAGTCTGATACTTGCTCTCGCCTCACCCAGGGTAAGAGAATCGCCCATTGGCTTTTTTGATGATTTTCCCCCTTAGAAAAAAGAAGTTTGTACGACTGGCCTCGGGACCTTCAATAAGTTGCGAAAACCTTCTAAGATCTGGTGAAAAGTGACACTTTAAAATGATCATTCCTTCATTCCCGCTTAACAGATTCCTGGAATACAGGCATGATGTTGTGTTTAGTTTTTTGCTAATATTGGTATCTATAGGGCAAACATTTGGACAATATTGGAAGTACAAATAGCTGTAACTAGTACAGTCAGCGTCAAGTAAATAGGGACAATCAGAGAATATCAGCTCAACAGTCAGCTGACTGTATCAGCAGGCGTTGCGAGGCAACTAGGCAAGCGTAATAAGGCACTACAGCTTTTTTTTCTATGATTGATTATTTACAATCTCCACGGACTCGGGGTCCGTTCCCTTGTCAAACAATATCCAGTAAAGATTATAGACATACTACAACTAACACATACACATAACTATAGTATTTTATAGAAGAAATTACATGCTACATTTAAATATCTACAATAATACAATCTAATTTACATTACATTTTTATCGAAGACTGCTGA